CCCCAAAACCCCAAAACCCCAAAACCCCAATGGTTTTAAAAATCATTAAAATTTCAAGTTTTTATATTTAAGTTAAATAGACCATGGGGGGTTTGCTTATAATTTTACAATTATCAAATCCATTTTTCTTTAGGAGTTGTAGAACTTCACTTGAATTCAATTTACAGAAGACTATTCATAATGTTGTTAGACTAAGTTTTAAGTCTGGTGAAGTGCTAAATGACACAACGAGATTCTGAAATTCTTCCGGCTTATTTTTCCAATCATTAAAGACTCCAAGTCCACTGGAATTCAGGGATATATTTTCTATCTGAGTTCTTTTGAGGGCATAAGAAAAATCAGTAACAGTTTGGATCCTAAATTTTCAAGAATCTAGATTAAACGATTTCACATGCTTGAACGAAGCAAGTAATCGTTTGAATTGAGATTCTTTAATATGAAATTTATAGAAAGATACTTTTAACACCCTTGAACTTATCTTGGCAATCTGTTTAAAGTAGTATGAAATATCAAGTCCACCTTCATTCTTATTACAGAAACTCAAATCACGTACTTTATCAGGAAAAGATAAGTCAAGAATAAAATGCTTGTTCCTTAACGTAATGCCATAAAACTCAAGACTATCAATATCAATAAGAGTGATTGGCTTAAGTTTTAGAACAAAGTTCTGCACTTCTGATTCCTCAAGGTCCAAGTTAAAGTCTTTAGGCAAATCAGAGGCTTCAAAGTCAGCTCTTTTTTCAGATATATGATCCGAACCTGTAATACTATGGATAAAAGCTGCTCCTAATATTTGATAATCTTTGTCTTTACTTTTTGCCAGAATATCTTTTTCTTGCCTATAATTATGGTAAAAATCACGAAAATCTCTCACTGAACTGAGGCTAATAAGGCTAGGTTTGCTACTTAAGGATTTTAATGTTGTTATCCACATAAGGTGTTAGTACCTTGAAGAATAAGGGTACTATATTTTCTGAAAGTTTTCGTATCCTAAAGAACCTCCTCATAATTCTCTTTAGATATTGAGTCCACTTTTAAATTATTTCATGTTTGAATACTTTAATGAATATTTTTAATGAAACTTTATAGATAAGTTAACTACTAAAAACTTTCTTACTATTTTCAATACTTCCAAACCTACAAGCTCGATATTCAGCATCTTACTTAAAATATCTAAAAGACTAGGATCCAAGGTAACAATTTCCTGAGAACTTAATCCCCTAAGGCCACCACACTGACCCCTTCTGCTTGAAATCTCCCCAAGAGACCTCCAGTCAGCCGCTCCACTCACTCTATAACTGTCTCCTTCTCTTCTAATTTTTCCATTTCTAATTTTTTATAAATTTCAACTAAATTTTCACAAATTGGGGTTTTGGGGTTTTGGGGTTTTGGGGTTTTGGGG